TACAATGTAATTAATGTCTCACAGGTGAAAGAATAACAATAAAAGTGCTTAAGATAATTGTCAAATCAAAGATCCAGTTATCGTGTTTGCACTGCAAATAAATAGACTCCGCCTTTCTGCAGTTACCTTTAGAGGTAAAGTATTTAATAAATCACTATGAAGTATTCTTTTGTTTAGTCTGAGGCAATTTTTAGTTCAGGTTCAGTTGATTCCTTCTTCCTCAAAAAATGTGCTGTTGCAGTACGTCGTGTCGTTCCTGACTCGATTAAGTGGACTGATTGCTTTATAGATTTGCATTTTAAATCCTCACGTCGTGTTTATCTCATTTCTCTAGGAAATCTGATCATTGCCTTGATAGAGTTTACTTTTTCGGGCCGTGCGCTCTTCAACAGGAAAAATTAAACTTCGCGCGGCTCCATATCTTGCCGCCTTGACAGGCTCGCGTTTTCGCTCGCTTGTTTCGTTGGCAATAAATATCCCCAAAACTATCGAGCTCAAATTTCTACCTTCTTCTCTATTAGACTAATTCCACAATAAAACCAGCAGTTTTTAAAAAAGAATTAACGTTTGGATAGTTTCGACGCATACATTTTAACAAATATATACTGCTATAATTTGTTTGTTGATCACCTTTTTCTTTAATACCCGTGACTTTCGATCACTAGTTGCATTTCATACCTCGTATAGTAACTGCAAACTAACTTTCCTTACAAACTTTTCAATACAGGGAAGACAGCAACTGAGTTCTGGAAAAAAAATCTATTCACTTTTCCATTCTCTAAAGGAACCTTCCCGTAGAGAAAGATAATGTAGACGAACAATGTCACGAGGTTGGTATTCCTATGAGATATTTGTAGGTCGTTTAGGTCAGACTAAACAAGTTTGTTGCGTATTAATTAATTAATTAGCCAAGGGCAAGCGCGTCTAACTTTATACCCTTCCTCACTTATATTCGGATCACAAGGTTGACTTTTATCATGACATGTTCTTTCGGCTTAAGTTTAAAACGAGCAACGATCGCTGATGGTCACGTTATTTAGAGGAGTGTTTCAGCAGACTTCTTTCCAGAAGCGGTTCCCTTTATACACAGTGACGACACTGGCTGAGTCAGCTGAGTTTGGCTTAACTTCTTCGTGATCAAATGAATTCCAAACTGACAAAGAAAATATCTCAAAACCTACCACAAGAAAAGACGAAGAATGCTTGAAGTATGAATGCCCTCTGTAATAGCATAAGGCGGAATCTGTGCATCTTCTACTTGTGGTACTCCTTTCAACGCTAGGAATAATTCGATTGTAGCTTGAATACAATCGAAACAGGAAAAAGCTTGGGACTTTAAAAGGGCTTTTTCCCTAATTAATTCTCTTTCACTTTGACGGCGTAATTTCGAACTACATGTATTCCGTAACATTCTAGTCAACTTAAAGTAACCAGTTTTTCTTTTTGACCTCAGCAAATTGAGGCCAAACTGAAAATCAATAGCTAGAATACATTTGAATTTAAGAGAAGAGGGCTATGGATTCTTCCATTTTTTCTTCGCCGAAAAGGGCCTTTCGACCTTTGTCAATAGAGGGTACAGATTTTGTTTCATAATAATTTCATCGTCTCGAAGATGCCCGGTCCTAGCTAAAGATCGCAATGGCTAGAACGTCAGTGAAGTTTACTATCTAGTTAAAGGGATTTTCCGCAAAAAATGGGTTACCGCAAAAAATTGCGATGTATTTTGATATTACAATATTGCATCAGCTCTTGAATATTATCACGTAGCCGATCTCACGGTCATATTATGGCAAACAGAGCGAAACGACCCTTGTTTGCGTT